ATAAGTTAATAATTAGTTTCGACTAAATACAAAATTAAATAAATCATTTTTATCAAATCACTAAAACAAAATTATTCACTAATAAATCTAATTCGTTAGTATTAGCCTATTCATTCTGATCCACATAAAATAATAAAAATCTGTTATCATCAATTAAAATACGCTCTCCCAAAAATAATTGGTGACAATATCATTGATTGATTTAAACTAATTTCAACTTTGGAATTTAGACAAATTTCTTTGGCAATCTGTTTTTGACTTGTAGTTGTAATATTTTTGTGATAATCTACTACAGATTTAAATCTCTCCACAAGCATCCTTTTCTCTTTTGTAAATAGTTTACACTTTCTTTTTTGCCATTCTTCACTTGGATCATCTATAATTTTTTGGTCAGTTTTTTATCACTAGAATAGGGATTGTGAACTTGTAATAGTTTCTCTGCAACTAAATGTTGTGAAGATTTGATTGAATCTACACGCAATTTGATATATTGCTCCACAGATATGTTGCATTTTTTGATATCCATGTTTTTAATAATATTATTTTCAACTTCAACGTTGCTGTTGTTTTTCGTGTACAAACTTTTATTGCAGGTAAAACATTTGACCAAAACAATATAAAATTCCATCAAGTTTTTTCAAAGTAGTTCTGAAGAGATGGATTATATAATGGATTATATATTTGTTGACAAGCTTCATTATGTTCTAATACTTTAATTTTTATATTTAATGTAGGAAAATCAATAATATAATTTTTATTTTCTTCCAATATTAAAAATAATAAATTATTATTAATTTTATACTCAAACTTATTATTAATTGATTTATTGATTGTATTCTCATCATCGTCATCTTCTTCTTCATCTTCCTCTTCAATTGATTGTCCAGAATTTACTTCAGTTGAGAAATATTCATCATTGAAATAAATATCATTCATTGAAAATAGATTTTTTCTTTCTATATAGTTGAATATTAATTTCTTTCAAATTAAATAATGATTGATTCAGAAATCAATTCCAATTTTCTATCTCATTTTTGATATCAATGAGTGATGTACTAATCCTAATTCTGTTCCAGATGCTCATTGTAAATTTTGAAAATGTAATTTTGTCTATATTAAATTGTTCAGGTTTGAATTTTTTAGACCTTACACAATTTCTAATCACATTTATACAGTGTGAATAGCACCAAGCAATTATTACTTTTCCTGGATCAATTTTCTCACCTTTAATTAAATTTTTTAATATTCTGTCATTATATTGCTTAATAGTTTCATTGTTATAAGCTGCCAAACATGCAACCAAAATGTTTTTTCCACAATCACAATTAATTTGTAAGAATTACTTTTCTTAATGAAAATAAAAATAATATTATAACATGTTTGTCAAACAGGTACTTTAATTATTGTAAAAATACAAGTTATCTTTATTATCTTAAAAATGATGTCCTTTATATAATAAAATTACATAGATTGATATAATATAAATAAAATATAAATAATAATAAAAGATTGATAAAATGTAAATAAAATAATCATAATAGCTCTTATCAATCTATCTGGAAGATTTGTGGACATAGATAAATAATAAATAGTAATTAAAGACACGAAATAATTGATGTTACAAATAATGATTAATTATGTGTCATGTTTCCAGATGTAATATTAATGTACTACACAAGATGTTGTATATGACTACAAGTAACTTGTTACATAATTAGATAAGGTATTGTCTGTGACTTATAAATTTGGAATTCATCATATCTTAATTTATTAACATATCTTCACAAATTGCTTGCAGTAAGATCATTGGCAACTAATTCTAAAATATCTATTGGTGGTGCATTGGGTCCACTTCCTGATGGCATTGTTATAAGTGCATTTAGTATTTTTTTATAATCATTTTGATTGTCTTGATATTTGGCACATAAATATGGAGGTACAGGCTTGATGAGCTGTCCTGTATAATCAATGAAAATACCAGGGTTTCTTGAAGCATAAAGATGATAGTATTTAAGAGATGCTTTATTATAAAACACTATTGACAATGGTTCTGTCTGGACTGGATCCTGAATATATCCTAATAATTTTCTTTTGTTTAATGAATCCATTCCATTTTTTTTAACATAATCATCTTTCTCTGCTTGATTTACTTCCATAATTGTGACATGCATTTTTTCAAGCAAATTATGGTCTTTTAATGGATTAGATTCAGACTTTATAGTTCTAAAAGCACTCGCTGAAGGAACATTTTGCCTGTTTCCAGTAAATCTTATGTATGGCCTAATATCTTTTAATGCTTCTTTTCTGATATCTCCGGATTGTCCTTCAATCCTTCTCTAATGATTCCTCTACATTGTTCATAGAATCTCCCAGCAATGTGATGACAAGTATCATGATCTTCTAAATATTTAATACTAATAGTAATGGTGTTTTTTTGACTTAACAGATCCATTCTGCAGATATCAAAATAGAATGAAGTTTTTTGATTTTTTACTCTAAAACCACTGCAATAAACATGTTTCCTAAGAAATTTTTTACCATTGTTGTAAGTTTTTTGAACAGCAACTGCAATTTGTGGTGGAAATTGCTTCTGCTTTAATAAATATTTACTTATCCAAGAATTAGATACTTTGGAACATCTCCAAATCATTTTTTCCTCTTTCAATGTAATTAAATTTTCAAAAACCTCTTGATATTCTAATTATACATGCTATGGTAATTATTTTGCCAAAAACGTAATACGTAATACGTAATACGTAATTACGAAATTAA